AAAGAGCAGCGTGATTTGCTTCATCGTGTTCATTATACGGTACAGTTGGCCTAAATAAAGGGAATGAATACATATTTTATTGTTATAAAAAATGTAATAACAATGTTAATATAATTAAAAACTATTTCACTTGAACTAAAAGACTGTGAAAAAAGAAAATTTAAAAAATACATTATAGGACAAAAAAAAAAAACGTATTTAAATAATATTAAAAATAAAAATTAAAAAAATATTGGTTTCCTCTTTTGGTGTCTGTATTCATTATAATAAACTTTTTTTAAATTATTATTTTTACTTATTTATTTATTTCTGTTTCATTTTTACCACATAATTAAATTTTAGATTTTTTTCATTGTTTATTATATTAACAATAGATTTTTATTTTTTTTTACTTTATGTGTTAATTGTTTTCAGTTTATTTTAGTTGATAACTGAAGTCAAGCACGTTGCAGACACTATCTCTAATGAGTACATGAGTTTGCTGTTGTTGTTTTTTTAAATGTGTTTCCTGGCCATGTTTACATGTGTTTTAATGACAACAGGGAACTTGGACTTCAGAACTTGGAAAATTAGGTCACTTCGACTTCCGACTTCCATCTTCGGAGATGTATCGACTGCAGCACGAGACTCCAATCTAGCAATCTGCCAACGTGTTGCTCTTATCAGTGACAATAAAAAATAAAATAAAAATCTTGTTTTCAAGGGCAAAGATTGAGCTCCATAAACACTTGAGGGTTTTTTTTCTCAGTGTGTCAGCTGAAGGATTTGTGCTGCTCGAACGCTGACCTGAGAGGAAAAACCGGCTCTTGATGTCTCCCTCTGAGTAAACGCCACCGCTTTGGCTCTGATTTTTGTGTGTTCAGGTCAGATTCACAAATCAAGGCCTTAATGAGCTTTGTAATCAAAGCCTCTGTACTTAACGACAAGTTTATTTGGGTCTCCAGCTGCTCCTGGATCAATCTTAGCTCGGCGGGAGACCAAATCAGACACACCTTCCCCCCCCTACAGAGAGCCTGAGGCTGCCTGGCGCACAGTGCAGGTGGCTGAGCGGACCAGAAAACAAAAATCAAACTGTTGAAAATGACTCCTCAACCTTCCCTCCATCCCTTCATTCTGCAACCCACTCCTCCACGCCGCTGCCGTTTTTCCCCAGGTTGTCATGGTGACGGTAAAACAGCCTGTCTCTAAGGGCTCCGTGGAAGACCCTCCCCGATTGTCTGCTCTCATTTTCTCTGTCTGTCTCTATCACGGCTCTTCATTTCCCATTTTCAGCGCAAATAACTGCCCAGACTCGCAGCGAGAGGTGGAAGAGCAGACGCACAGGACCGAGCTCATCACTGGCAGCTTATTCAAGCCCCCACACACACGATTATTAGAAAGCAGCCCCGTTAGCCTCCGAGTGCACCGGTGTCATTTTAATCAGATAATGAAAGCTCCGCAGAAGGAGGGGCCCCCTTTTTTTTTTTTTTTACAGCTCAGCTTGAGAAATAGGATCAGGCTATCAAACTCCACCCAGATAAGACAACTTATTGTCATGAGCGTCTTTTAAAATGTGCCACTGATACCGAGTGTAGCAACACACAGAGGATTCCTAGAGAGGAGAAGTCTAAACATCACACAAGCTGCAATCACTTCTTGACTGTTCAATTAAAGGCTCTGTGTAATTCTCCCAAAACAAACCGGGCTGACACGCCATCCATCATCAAACTGAGGCACTGAAAGCAGTCAATAAATTAAAAAAAAAAAAAAAAAAGGAGACAGACAGGAGTTATTACTCAGGCTCTGCTGCCTCACCAAATTGATTTACAAAGCAAATCTCTGTTTGAGATGTTAAGAACGCGTATTGATAGCAGACGGCAGGATTTAAACAGCAAATAATGTGCAACATTTGGAAGCACGCGCGTCACCCAATAAACCGAGGGCCACCAAACAAACCCGCTCAAGCAAGGCGATGTCAACCAGTAAAACTTCAAAGTCACGTTTGTTCCCTCCGCAGTGACACAGCCTCGTTTTCAGTGAGATTTTCTGAGATTCGGTTTTTACGAGACCGCGCTGCTGTTTACCCACATCTGCTTGTAAAGAGCTGTAATGCATGTCCTTTGGCTCTTTGTTGAAATGTGCATCGCCGTGAATACTGAAGGATCAAACACGGTGGAGTCAAGTGGAAGCTTTTATCATCCACCTACTATGAAATGTTTTGTTAATTTGAAGTTAAGTCTAAGTAAAGCTTAGAAATGTACATTACAAAACCTGATCACATTCAGTGTACAATCAGCAGCAGGTTTCCCAGGGTGCACCGACTGAAGGTTAAAACGCTCTTTCTTGTAGTTTGAAGAAAACATAGTTACATAATAGTCTTGCTTTAGGGTCTTTTCAATGCAACTAGGCAAACAGTAAATGTGATTAATCACTCATAGGGTTCCTGACAGTAATTAAAAGAATGCTAAGTAAACACGCTGAAGGTTAGAATCCTACCGTACACTTCAATGCATACAAAGTCCATCAAAATTAAAACAGCACACAACTCCTGCTGCACAACTCCTCGCTAATAGATGGTACGTTAATCCTCAAAACCCATCAGCGGGTTTTTAAGGAATGTTTTATTTTACAAAATTGCCAGAATAAGTCCAATTATCACAGCCAGAAACAGTGAAAACAGAAAGAACTGTTGGATTTTGATATTCCTGGATGTTGTTGAACTACTCATCTGTCATTTTGTCAGAAAACAAAACTAAATCTAAGCCTGAAATAGCAATATTTCATTTTTTGTGTCTCATTTAAAGATTTGGTAAAAAATGAAGAATTCTGCACAAATAGGTTCCATGAAAAATACAAAACATTCTGAAGCGATGAAGCCATTAGTGACTTAGCTGAACTTAAATTCAGGAACTTTTTGGCTTCACTGGTTTAACTGCAGGTTGTGTTTCCACAAAGCAGAGAGAAGTACGGAAAAAATGTAAAATACCAGCAGTAAAATATCATAAGTAGACACTTGTGGGCACCCGGAAAAGTGTTATAAATGTTGATTCCTGCAAGAACTTAGTTTTATTGCCTTTTATGACTTATGACATTATAAATTTGTCAAGATGCATAGAAGACATTTTTGAGTGCTCTCTACTCTTACTTTGCTGTTTCCATAGAGGTGCAGGACTTTATATTGCAGTGATGGATGAGCCCACAGTGAGTAAAAAACACTCAGAAACTCCTTGATTAGATTTAGATTGTTAATTATCAAAAGTCTGTAAATGAGGGTTAAATAAGGACTAGACTTAGTTTTGTAGGAATTCTTTTCACTCTCAAAAGACATTTTTTTGTTTTGTTTTGTTTTGTTTAATTAAAATACAAATTGGGAATTAGTTAAGGAATGGATGTGTTGATGCCAAGACATTTCTATTTGTCTAAGATTTTTTTTATAGTGTCTTTAATAAAACAAAACAACTATTGCTTGAGGTAATAAACAGGATGTGCTGTTATTTGTATTGAAAAATGTCGATTTAACTTTTTACATTTTTTTTATTTTTTACCCACTAATAGGTTAAGATAAGAGTTAAATTGTCTTTCTGTATCCACTAGAAGCAGATGTAATGTTTTGTCAAAAATATTTTGTATACTCGTGATCCATACGTCACATGACTGATCCATGGACTGGACATAAGAAAACCAGAATGAACCTCACACACAAACCTAATGAAGGATAAATTATTCAGCATTTGGAGAATAACATTTTGTTTTCTGGAGGGGAGTTGTTCGATAGTTCAAGCTTAATTTGTGCTTCTCTAAATGGAGAACTTACTTTCTGCTCTTCAGTAGTAAACAGTCTGCACTGGTATAGCACTTTTTAACCTTACTCATTCAGCCACACTAATGGTGGCAGGGCAACAAGGTGCTCATCTGCCTTTAGGAGCAACTTCAGGTTCAATGGATGCCTTTAATTTCACTAGCCTATGCTTCCTCTCTTCTCTCCTGACCTGGAAATCATTCCCTTCTGCTATCATAGAGAATTTTCTAGTACATTTTTATCTCGAGGAGACGAGAAGCAAGGAATGAGGAGGCTTTGGGAGAAGCTTAGATGAGAAAGCACAGGTACATCCTGCATGGAAGTCTTGAATCAAGTGGTTTAACGTTTAAATGCTACGCATTCCAGACAGGTCATACAACTGTGGAGCCAACATAAGTAACCACCATTGTCTAAGGTTGACGCTATGGAACGAAGAATTTCTTATTTGGCAGCTACATCATCTTCATCGTTGCATCTCTCTCTAACATCCTTGCTGGAGGAGCTAAGTAGCAATGCACAATAAAAAAGCACACAGTGTTGTGCACAAGGACTCTTCAGCCTGTTAAGTCAACAACCTGCTCTACTGACAGAGCCACAGCAGCCTTAACCAGTTATGGGATATATCAGTCATCAATCACACAAGACATTTCTGATTTCCAGGAATGACACCCATTTGGTAAAGACTAATCTGACTGGCTGCAGCTAATACAACAACATGAGTGTGTGAAACTGCGCGTCTGCATGCATGCCTACGTTTGTGCAAATTTGGGTGTGTTCGGCTTCAATGAAAACACAGTCTGCAGCTGAGCACAGAGAGCTGTGGTGTAAAGGTCATGTTGTACTTCATGTGAAAACACACAATCTGCAAACAGCTTCAGACATGTTGGTATCTTTAACGGTTTTGGTGGAATGCTTTAAATCAGAAGACACTTTAGGGGTTTTCTTTCTGAAATGTCTGTCATCAATAATGCCCTATTATTAAAACACAACTAAGAAGCAAAACGTGGAGTTTCAGTCCAATAGGGCGTCTTCTTTGCACTGGTGTCAACCATCTCTCAACCACGTCACAAACCGCAAACTTGTCTTTTCAGAGGCATCGGAGTGTAAGCATTCAGCAGCATCATGCTTGAAAAGCCATCGAAAATGTCAGCGCACGCTTTGTTTTGATAATATGCAAAGATTGGAGATAGTTTGATATCAGCTCTCACCTCGTTCTCTTTGATCTCGTACTTGGACGAGTGCTTTCCATGACTTTTCCTCCGGAGCTTCTTCAGGTCTGTCTGAGAGCGCTCAAGGGAGTCCTGCTTCAGCTTGTGCTCTGACTGGTAGCGCTTGAAGGTGGCCTACAGACAGACATTTGAAAAGAGAGGGAGAGATGAGTAGATTGCCACTGTTGCTACACAAGCGCTCCTGAAATCATCTCAAGATTGAAATAAATCACCGCGAGAGGAGCGAAAGCATCATTTATACCTCCAGAGCAGAAACATGTATACAAACCCTTAACAAGATTAGGGAGGATGGATGGGTGTATGCTTGCGTGACAGACAGAAGTGTGCTGTAGATGATGACACTTACGTTCATGTATTTAACATCCATCTCGGTCTTCTTCTCCAGCTCCACAATAACCTCTCTGTGGAATCTCTTGAACTGCAGAGAGAAAACACACACTTCAAATTCGTTGCAACATACGTACATGCATTTTGTTCCAACATACTGTTCAGTCACATGGCTCGTTATAGTAAGAGAGGAGTGACCAGGTGGAATGTATGATAATGGGTTTCTGAGGGGATGAGATTCCATCAGGAGCGGCTTATCAGCTTGTTAAGGTTAAAGATTAACAACTTTCGCCTCTCGCTGATAAACTCCAGCCCAGCCAGGGGAGTCAACTGCATTGACATTGTACATTTCTTCCAAACTTTACCCACATCAGGCTGAGCGTTTCAGCCGCTGCCATATTTAAAGTGGTGACACTTGACTTCAGTTTACTTGTTGTCACCGGGTATCTGAAGCATTTCCCCCTGAGGCAGCGGAGTCAGGAATGATTCTATGTCTTCTCCACTCTTGTCAAACTTTCCTTCACCTTTTGTTACAGTGATTTCAAACTCTCTAAAATGAAAGGAATGAGCTGAAAAGGTTGTCGAGGTTACATTTCCAGAGAGGACAGCGTGATAAATGGCCAATCTCTCTCTATTATCTGAAGATAAGATGACAGTTTGTGGCTACAGAGTAGTTCTAGGAATGACAATTGTTCGCTCCAAGAGGCTCAATGGGCGACCTGTCAATGTGCCATTTTTTTTAATGGTATAATTGCAACACAGACAAGACTCTTTTTTTTACAGCACATTCAATTTTTTTGCTTTTAGTCTTCTGATTCAAGAGCAGAGAGAAAGAAGCACAGATGGAAGGGGGGAACCTAAAGCAATGTAGACTTAGCAGTAAGGAGTCAGGATGTCCAATCAAAAGCCGGCTAAAGAAGAAGGCTGACCATATTGTGTGGTTTTCTTTATACCAGCAAATCCTATGACCAAAACCAGCAATGTCTCTTGATGCTTTCTGACTTCATGGCTAGATCATACATGAGCCTTAAATCTTGCAAGGTGGCTCTGTGGTTAGCACCGTCGCCTCATAGCTAGAAGCTCCCCAGTTCGCATCCTGGTAGGATCTTTCTGCATGGACTTTGCATGTTCTCATCGTGCAGCGTGGGATCTCTCTGGGTTCTTGGGCTTCTTTCCACAGTCCAAAAACATGTTGAGGTTAATTGGTGATTCTAAATTGTCCGTAAGTGTGAATGTGAGTGTGCTTGGTTGTCTGTCTCTAAGTGTGGCCCTGTGATAGACTGGTGACCTGTCCAAGGTGTCCCCTGCCTTCAGCCTGAGTCAGCTGGGATAGACTCTGACCAGTTAGGATTAAGTGGTGTATAGATAATGGATGAATGGATGCTTCACTGCATACACCCATCAGCTACAAAATTAAAACCACTGACAGGTAATCTGGATAACATTGATTATCTTGGTTGCTGGCATTCTTGTGGATCCTACCTCCTAAACATTGTTCCAGACCAAGTACATCCCTCTATATCACAGTATGCTCACCCACACAACGAAAAGTGCTCAGGAACACCTCAAGGTACACAACAAAAAGCCCAAGATGTTGACCTGGCTGCCAAATTCCCCAGATCCAAATCTGATCAAGCATCCATGTAATGCACCAGAACAAGATTATTCATGTAGGCCCTTTCCAGAAACTCACAGGACACAAAGGACCTACAGCCTACAACCCACAAGTACCTGACACCACAAGAAGCCTCAAGAGGTTCCATGTACTTGCACCAATGGGTCAGAGCTGTTCAGGCGGCACAACAGTGTTTTAGCTCAAAATACTGCAAAGATGGTCATTTCACCATCACCCTTGGTTTTAGTGGTGCTCTAAATGGACTGTTTTGCTCTGAAAAGCTGCTTTTCCTTTCCCCTTTGGAAAAAAAAACACATTGTGTCTGTAATTGACAGCTCCTGCTGTCAATCACAGTTAGTTCAGTGTTATATATCCCTTTCGGTTGAATTCTTACTAGCTTGTAGAGTTGATATTTTAGCTAGTTGTGGGTTTTATAGCCATCTTCATATCTCATCTTTACACCTCCAAGTTTAGAACAACCACACAAACACACACAAAAATTGATTTTTATCATACATGCCCTTAAATGGTGTAGAGAAATTGAATATTACTGGCACTGGGACCAGACTTTAAAGTGACTTACATTCTCCTCCAGCTCATTGTGGACCTTCCTGTGGGATTCTGCAATCTCCATCAGAACCACACCTAGAAAAACATCCAGAACAACCAAAATTATTACAAAGAAACAATGTAATATGATGTTTTATGAATAATGTAATATTGATGTTTTATGGTTATTATTTTTTAAAACAGATTCAGATGTGCTACACAAAGCTTTATGGTTGCTAGTTGGACGTATTATTTGGACAGAGGCTGCTGGTTGTTCTATCCAGTCTTTATGTTAAGCTAAGACAGAGGCATTATAGGGGAGAAACAGAAATCTATGGGATTCCATCACACCAAGGATCATGGTTGTGTAGCTCATGCCCCACCCCTCCCTTCAAAGAGCCAATAGTTGGCCTTATAGAACCGGGAAACCTTTAGCCAATATATAACCTGTAGGAAAAATGCTTTCCAAGGCAGAGTCACCAGACCTTTTAAGCATTTTTTTGTTCTTGCTATAACTGCCCCGGGTTTCCAAGATGGCTGCTGAGTGGCAAAACTTGACTAAAAGGACTTTGGCAAAGCTAACTGACTGCTGTAGCTTCACACTGACTAGAGATAAATAAGAGAGGTGTCAAACTTTCAGCAAGAAATCCACCAACTCCATTCACCAAAATGATAACGTTAATGTTCCTTTCTGAGACGCAGGTGGCAGAAAGCAACTGAAAATCAGCAAGCACAGATCCAATGAATGCTTTGTCTAACAAGATGCAAATTCAGAGGGAGATGTAACATATTTTGTGTAAGAGAACAGTTAACACTTTCCAACATTCTTGTATAACCGGTTTTTCATCAAGCCTCGCATTCGTCTTTACAGCCCATATTTTACAGATGACTTATCTCCTTTCAATATTTGAGCAGCTGTCAATAAGTAATCTCTATGAAACATGCTGGTATTGTGCGGTCAGATACAGAACAGTCTCCATTCACAGACAGGCTACAGCATAGACAGAGCAGCATATGACATGAAACAATGGGAGCGAGTCAATACTGTAAACAGAAGTGGACAGTCAGAGCTAAGCAGTTTATAGTGCTACCTCTGTCACAATGGGGTGAAATCTAGACTCAAGGTTTACTATAGGACACGCTGTTCTGGTGAAACCTGCAAAAGCACGTACAGTTTTTTCTTTTTTTTTACTAGAAAACATATCTGGACATGTGACAGAGTCAGTGAAAGGGAAAAAGAGCAAAAGTGAAGGACCCACATGGATTTCAACACCTTCAGAGGAAAGTAAAGAAAACGCAGGTGGCTGTGTTTTTTAAAAAACTTTTTTACTGAAGACTCTCTAAAAATTGCTCATGTCAGCACGCTGCAACTAAACACCTCGGCACTCGCGCACATGCGACCCAACACCTGAAATTCCTCCGGTCAGACCAAACAAACGTAATGACCCGCTGATACAGAGCTGCACTACTGTGATCCAGCAGGCACCGTCCAGCTACAACAACATTGCCCTCTGAAGGTCACCAGAACGTACTGGTAAATGCTGCCTTTGTGTTTTGATGTGGTGGTGGCTGTGCGGGGGGGGGGCACTGGACGTTGAGCTGTTTGTACAGCCTCAACAACAGACTGCACGGGGTGGAAGGGGGAGGCTGAGAAAGGCCGGGAGAGAGGAGGGTGGGGGAGGTGGGGTTCAAAGAGGCCTTTTGTACACCTGCAGGTTTCACCTTTGGGGTGAACAAGGTGTGAAAGCCTGCCCGAGGGAGGGTAAATGCTACGGAAAGCCATCTCGGAGGGGCGCGAACCTGTCACTTACGCAACTGGACCATGGACTGCAGTTAAAAAAAGATGTACAAAGTAGTAGAAAAAAGTCAAGAATTGGCACTTTTCTTCCGAGCCCAGGTGTATAAAAGACAACCGAACTGCATTTTTTTTTAACATTGACTGAACTACTATTCAAGTTCATCACCTTGAAAGATCAACAACAGCACAGGGCGGCTTTTTCTCAGTTTATCTTATCTCCTATCTCAGTCAGTTACTAGCAATTTGCTCTCTTTTGAAGATTTTAAGTACCAAGATAATCTAATCTCCTCTAAGCGTTTTCAAATAAGCGTTTTTTTCCTCTTTGTTTTACGCAGGTTGATGATACCAGGTTGATTAAAGATCCTTGTGGAAAAATACACCATCCATGATTCATGCATTCAGCCTATGATTCACAATTATAAACACTTTGTCTATTCACTCCTTCACACCCACCCAGCTCACCTCAAAATGCATCCCGGAGCGTATATTACAGATACCGCTTCCTACAACTAGTTAAAATTAACTTCGACATTTTGATCAAACACATTCTGCTTGCTGGTGTGAGCACACGGCTTGTTGGATGTGAAGATAAACCAGATTTTAAAAAATCATAACCTAACTAATCAAAGTGAAACTACAATAAATAAAAAAAAACATTTTCTTTTTGTTTCATAATATTTAACCTGGGGATTTAAAAACTGGTTCTGCTGAGATAATTAATTTCTATGCATGCTTTGGAACAAATGCCTCTTTTACAAGATGCCGTCAGCATTCTCTGCAGGTGACGTTTTTATGAGATGGAAATGCCCCGGTGCCAACACAAACCCTGCCTATTTGGTGATAGATAAGAAAGCAATATGTGGTGACGCTAGACGGGCAAACACAGGAGGCTGACCTGTTGGCATGGTTTCTCTTTATTTCACTACTTTGCCTAACTAACAATGCTTCCTCTATTCAGCAAGCGCACACATGATCTCTTGTATGAACTAGCCCTCGACTCGTCACTAGTTATCACCTCGTAACACAGTTTCATCACTGAGATGCATCACTGGGCTTGTCTACGCAGGCTTATGGGGTCTGTGATGACACACAGCTACCTTCTGCGTGAGTCAGGATGAAATGATATCTCAGTTTATGCACATTCCAGTCCAGACGGGAAGAGACTGTGTTTGGAGGTTGCCATAGATGAGCTACACCCTTAATGTTATCATCGTGATGTCACCGTGATTAATGCTAAATCCACTGCGCTGATAACACATCGAGTGGTGACTGTGATGAATCCATTGTACCTGTGGACTCCCTTGTGACAGATGGTGCTTAAAAAGGACTGAGATCTTAGTAAGTCCTCTGTCATCCAGAGTGGGGAAAAGAATATCCTGTCATCTGGTGGAAATATCAGTGTTGCTGTTAAATGATTCTGAAGATTTTTATCTTGCTGAACCAAACAACTCCAAAGACTTAAGGCACTTGTTAAGCAAACAGCTAATTACATTAGACAACCACTGCATGAATCATGATGGTAATGAAAGCTCTAAAGCAACTAAAAAAGACCCTGAGGTGAGTTTGTAAAACAAATGTCTTAAAAAGAAAAAAAAAAATACTCTCCTAAAAATGAAAAAATATATTTAATAACTTGGCAAACAGCATTTGTTGATAGCTTGCCACCAATGTTCTTGGCCTATCACAGAAATATCAGTATTGGTGTATATGTTGTCCAATAAGATTTTTTTTTCTATTAATTTATTTTTACAGGACATAATGCACAAAAAGATGCTTGGGGTAAATTTTGAAATGGTGTTATCACATAGTTTGAAAGTGGTTCTGACTCCATTGTTTACAATACTATAAACACTGTTGGCAGCTCATGTAGCAGAGCAGATGGTGGTGCGGAGTCAAGTGGTGTCTTCATGTTAAGTTGTCAACAGATTTGTGAAATACATTGCTGGAAAGTTAAGAAACAATAACTCCATATTTTTTTCTTTTCAATATAACTACAGCATACTGTATGTATACAGTATGTGTATAAATATTCGGTATTAGTTGGGCTATATTGAAAAGCTCCAGAACAACTTATAAATTGACTCTGAATTGAGATTTTTTTTTTGTCAACAACCATTGCCCTATATAACTCAAACATGCAATCTAAAGTCGGCATGTGTGATACTGGAACCCTCCCATGTATACTGCATACACTTGGTTCACAGAACCTGTACTATAAACTTGTGTACAGAGCAACTTATGTGCTTCGAGTGTCATTACTACCAATCAAATATGCCACTCTCAAGTATTGATCATCAGATTATTTCACTAATGATGACCAAAAGCGACCTTTTTTTGTTGCACTGTATTAATTTAATGTTGCTTCGTGGTTTAATCATTTCTACTCTGTTTGCAGCAGATCAATAACTGGGAAAGCTGCCCTAACACAGAGCAATGACCTGCCATCAAACACAGCATATGGCACCATTTAATACTAGAGCACATAAAAACTAAATGTAGGCCTTAAACATCAACAGTAAATCTCCATTTACTCAACACAACAAACTGGCAGTGAGCTAAAACAGCTTTGAAAAGTGACTAGAGGTGTAAGTGAAGCTTAGAGACTCTGGCTGTCACCTCACATGAGAAAGCTGTGAACAAGTCAGTTAAAAAGTTTGTATGGATGGGTATTTCCACTGAATACTGGCTGAATTCTACAATATCTGATGAATGACTTGTGGTGCTGTGCGAGCACAAGAGGGGCCAGACAGAATTTAGTGGATACTTTCGTGTCGCAGCGTTTCAAATGCCCGAGCGTCACGGTTTGCTGAGCGGTCAGTGAGCCTCTGGTCCCTCTGAGGACACTGATGGTCTATTGGAGAGCCTTTAGTTTAATGGTAGATGCAGAATGAGGGCCTCAAGTGGAGGATCATTAAAGAGCAACCATAACTCACTGAACAATAAGTAGATATGAAAACAACCTCCTGTGTTTTACTTCTTTTTAAGAGTCTCTGCCTGGTTTTAGGAAACAACTTGTGTCTGTGTGGCTGAACCTGATGTTTTCGTGGTTAAAATCTGTTTGTAGATACATTTACACGTCATGGTTCAGCTAATGGTCCTCAGCAAGATCTTCTATCAGTAACTGGGAAGTGGAAAAAATGTTATTCACATTCCTGCTAAGTGTTAGATAGAAAGCTATACCACTTTCATGTGTTTCTGTATGCTAAATATGAAGCCTGTATGATGTTAGCTTAGCCTAGCGTACTGGAAGTAGAAGAACATTGTCTGGGAGTAAAAAGAAAAGGTTTCTCCTGATAGAAATAAAATGTAACGTGTGTTTAATCAAATAACTAATATAAATATGGTTAAGAGATTCTGGTTGGCAGTTTGTTTTTAAACCTCTGGACAAACTAGGCTAGCTCTATATTACTAGCCTTTAAGCTAAGCTAACTGTAGCTTGCCTGTTGCCTAACGAACTGACAGAAGAGGGGTAATGCTTGTCTCATTAAACACTTCAAAAAACTCCAAAAATGTCAATCTTTTGCTTTGATGAAAACAAACGTTATGTGATGCTTTCCGTACAAAAACAAAAATATCAA